GAGCTGTCTCGCCACTCGGTTCTCGCCCAAGGCTATGCGTGGAGTGTTGAGGTTATACGAAAAGCGAAATGACACCAGAGGCATGCTCGGCGCATTGATCCGTCTCATCGCTTGGCAATATCGCTGGTACTCCGAGGTATGCTCCTTTCTCTAGCTAATATTGCTCGGACCACTATAACTAATAAACTATTCAGTTCTCCCCCGAACTTTTGTTCCTAGTTCGCAAGCTCATTGAGGACGAGGGTGCTGTCAAGGTCCGCAGCATTGTCCAAGCGACAAACTTGCCTCAAGCCGTCCTCGACCTCACACACCAGTATTGTCAACTATGTGCCACCTTCCGCAGCAGTGGTAGCGACACTTGAATATGTTCGCGATGATCGAAGACAAGCTGAGTTGGAGTTGGAGGACAATTTGATGCCTTCCCCTGGATATCAAGATAGAAAGTGGAGCACAGGCAGGGCTAATGACCACCCTTGATGACACCCCTTGTTTTGCACTTTCTCTTGGTCCGATTGTTAGTTTTCTTAGATGGTATATATTTTATATGTTCCATATCTAGTCGTGTGCGCCATTCAACATGATAGGTGGATCCCGTACGGAGTAACCCTAGTAGTTTGGGGCCCGTATCCATTTAGGCCTCGACTTCTCACTGCCCAACGCTAGTATATGCATCGGAACCCACTGTGGAGAGAAACATAGGACTCAGCCAGTAGCGGCGATTTCTATGCACGTCATCTTCAAGTCCCCGAGAACACAGCGAGGATTGGCTACTTCCATGAACTAACTTGATGTCCCTGAATCTAGACACATAGGACTCTACATTCACAGCATCTCTAGTTGGATACAGGAGACTATCACAGCAAAACAATCCAATCACCCACTCAAGGCCGAATTGTATTTTAGTTCAATAAATTTTTTGCCGTAAAGAAACCAAATTCTCGATAGCAAAATCACTGCTCTTCTTCAGCCGCCTCAATTTCAGACAGATCTGACTCCTTAGGAACAACACCTTCCTTAGCTCGAGCAGCACTGGCAGCCGGAACACTCTTCGTGGCGGTATCAGCGGCACTCTCTTCCTCGGCGTCTTCCTCGGCGTCTTCCTCACCAAGCTCTTCGTCTCGTTCGCCACTTGCGCCGTTCGCGCCCTCGGAACCCTCGTCATCATCGACGGGAATGGCTTCAGTCTTCTGTTTCTTGGCTGCCGGGGCGCCTGAAAAGAGGTGTATGTAAGCGTGGGAAAGTTGGGGATGAAGAGGATATCCATAAAGGCTAAGGGTAAAACGTACCTTCCTCTTTGCCTTTCTCCTTGCTTTTGTCTTTGCCTTTGTCTTTGCCTTCTGCTGTTGGTTTTTCTTCTGCTCCTTCTCCTTCCCCTTCCTCATCTTCGTCAGACTCCGACTCTCCTTCCACCTCTTCCTGTTCTCCCTCGTCGCTTCCTTCCTCTACGTCGGGTTCGGAGTCTTCATATCTAATTCAACGCGCGATCGGGTTAGCAAAGACCAATTATGCTTAGGAGGTTTCGCGCGACGTGTTTCGAGGTCGTCTCGTGATGGAGGCATAGCTAGTACAACCGTGCAGAATTGTAGTGGAATGATGCGTAGGACATGCAAGAATGCGAAGAAAGGGAGAATTGATAACGGGATGGAACAACATATGAACTCACTCTTCCTCCTCTTCGCTCTCATCGCTAGGAAGGGCCTGGAGCTCCTCCTCAGTCTCTTGCTTTCTCTTGCGGGTAGTCATCGTAAAAATATTTAGGAGGTTGGTAAGAATTAACTTAGTACAGAGGGGAGGGAAGGATGGAATTATAAAGGAGAGAGAGAGAGAATGTTCTGAATTGGCAAAAGTCCCTTGAGTCTTGGGGGGGAATGGTAATTATAGAGAGGAGCAGAGCTCTAAGAAGAAGGGAAGGGGAAACCCAAGAGCATAAGCGGGAGTGACGGTGACGACATGGGAGTGACAAGACCTTAGGGTTAAGGTGATAGCTTACACTCCGGAGTGCGTGGTCCATGACAGAAGTGTGCGTGTCGCCAACCCTGGATTCTTGCGCTATTTACATTCCGTGCCCATCTAACTATGGTATCCAAATGTTGATATCCTTGGTATCCTTGATATTTTTAGGTTTGCGTCGATTCCTTGCTTTGCGGGGGTCTTCATGGTCATTGTGTTAGAAAGTCAAAATCTGCCATACTCGGATCTAGCAGATTCTCATCAAGACCAAATCCGTATGTGCCGACCATTCCATAGATCAGATCCGGTGGAGGGAATCCCTGTGCCATGGCATTGGCTCCCCCAGGGACCTCGCGGCCTTGCAGCGCAGTATCGTTGTTTCCTTGGAATTGCCAAGAAGCCTCCCAAGAGTCAAAGCGCTCAAGCATCTTGCCCAATCCACGTGCGATATGTCGAGTAAGATGTCGATCACCGGCAGAGACGCAATTCATTAATTCGATCACACGTTCAACTAGCCGTCGCACTTGTCGAGCGTTGATGCTTAGGTAAGCTGTGTTCCAATTGATTGCGACCTTGAGTAGGAAAACAGCGGAGAATGTAACCATAGTGTGGGTGAAGATCGGAACGCCAACAATCGCATCCCGAATATCAGGCTCCTCAAGAACCATATTGAGACATGCCATTGCGGAGGAAATTGCGATGTTGGCGGATTCCTTGCGGTCCATGGAGAAGACGGGTGTGTTGGATAGTGAGAGCGCACGAAGAGAAAGCGAGTTCAGCTGGAACTTTGCAAAATGGTAGTGCAGAACCACTCCTTTCGATGGATAAGTCCGCACATAGGTGCTATCGGCTGTAATGCATTCCAAGTTATGTTAGAACCGAGAGTTGCTGAGAATTAGGCTAAAATGTCACTCACCAGATCGAGGCTGCCAGAGAAGTCGCCATTGGTCTACTGCAACATTGTATACGCGCAACTGTCCAAAATCTTCCTCAGTCAATGTTTGTTCAGTGTCGCTACCAAACATTCGATATGCCTCAGTCAAAATCATAAAGAGAGCCACTTGAGCTAAAAGTCGAATGTCTCCGGGGACGATCATCGGCAGCGCGAGGAAGGTCTCATAGTTGCGGATCACCACATCCTCGTGGATGACAGGTGGCCGCCCATAAGCAATACTGAAGTGATGGTCGCACACGTAAAGCAGATACCAGAGCTGCGCGCGCTCATATTGATCCGTGTGTCCACGGGTCAGACGCTGATAACTTTGATGGAGACCCATCTCGGTCGCGATTCGTACTGCATGCCCGGACAACTTCCAACTCAACTCTGACAGCCAGAATGCCCCCACACAGAGGCCTCGGATATCATCCAAGGTGTGGGCCCGTGTGAGGGCCATATTGGATACGAGCGATACATACTCGCTGTAGCAGCGGTTCAAAGTTTCCGTGCGGTTCGGAATATGAAGTGCCGCGACAGTCAAAACGGCTGCAGAAAGAAGCGTCGATGCGCGACGGACGGACGTTAAATCGCGGTGTACAAGAATAATTCCACCCCACAGTAGCTGGTTCATGGTGCGACTGAAGTACGCGAATAATTCTTCCGCTTCATGGAGGGAGATCAATCGTCGTGAGATAAAATCTTCCTCTAGCAATGTCTGTTTCGGTGCCTCGACATGATTGTTTCTTAGGTTCCGTAATTTAGTGACCTCGTATAGACTGCGCATAGGAGCAGGCACTAATTCTGGGTCTTGGAGATCCTGCTCCGGCGACGGCTCCCGAGTAACATCCATCACGACGCCCAGTCCCTCCTGGTGACTGATTTGTGTCTGCGATCGACTGACGGAAGGGTGGCCATGATACGACTCGGCAGGACTGGGGCCATTGAGAGCCTCCCCGGAAGCATAGGTTGAGAGCTCAGGCAGTCCGCCTTGTCGCAATAGGTGCGAAACAGCCGCCTGCAGCTGTTGCATAGTCGCATTGGCCTGTGATTTCCATCTATACCAGCGCCATTAGAATAGCGCCCCCGATAGGTCCAAAGCCTCACCAAAGGGCCGGGGCGGGGTCACACGTACATCCCATCATCGTTAACAAATTTCTGTGAAAAGTCGTTTACGACGCACTTGATACCGCTGCGAGTACATTTTGTACAAGTTGACTCTCCTGACCGAAACTCACAGCGAATCTTATGACGCTTGCATTCTGCGCCTATTCCCTGTTAATTAGGAGGCATTGGAGATGATGTGGGGAAGACTCACATGCACGAGCTTTGGAGATCTTGGGGACAGAACGTGTCTTGCTCTCTTGGGGTGATTCCAGGCCAGCGTCATCAGGAGATCGTTTCAGTGGAGTACCGGTATCCATGATGTGATGCTACTCTAGAGGATAGTGGGAAGAGTCGGTGATACTCCGGCACGCAGTTTAGGGGAGAAATCTTCTCCCGAGTGGGGGGAAAGCGTCGGAGTAAAGCGAGTTGGCACGAGTACGCCGAAGAGCCAGAGATAAATTGCAGTTTATATTTCAAGGAGGTTGTTATGGCCAATAGGGTAATGTATGTACAACATAGCAAGAGAAAGGAAGAGGACAAAAATAAATCGTGTGACTTGGGACCCCCCGCAGACTCGACTTCCCCGAAATCCTCACCCTAGACGTTATTCTGTTGAGATATTGTTGGCTTTTTAAGATTCAGGTCTGAATTTCGAATTGGACATGTTCCTTGGATAGAGTCTAGTATATAGCTTATTGTCCTCGACTTCTAACTGACAGGCTGACAGGTCACAACACCCGTGGACAAGGCATTCCCCAGGATTCAACCCCAATTGAGATCCCCCAAACAAAAGAGGGCCCTGAAAGATGACACTCCAAGGCGATTCGCGCACAGCAGTTCCACAGCAGATCCACTTAGGAAGTGAGTCCCGGCCCAAGTCCGGTGCGGAGGACCAGCTACGGATCGCCTCGGACTTGATGCGAATGCGGAGACTAAACTTACATATTGAAATACATCATCATCATCATCCCTCCCATATTCCCTCTTCATCACACCAATCTCAAGAAAAATGCATGTCCTCATCACTGGCGCTGCCGGCTTCATCGGCCAATTGCTTGCGAAAGAGCTGTTGAATGACCCAGCCTATCGCGTCACACTGACCGATATACATCAACCTCCGATCCCCGCGGGCGTTCGCTATCCTCAATCCGCAACGGCAATCAAGGTCGATCTCTTGACAGGCGCCAAGGACATTGTCGATTCTTCCTTGGACGCCGTCTATGCCTTTCACGGCATCATGTCGTCCGGCTCCGAGGACAACTTCGATCTAGGCATGAGCGTCAACGTCGATGCAACCCGCAACCTACTCGAGGCGCTGCGACACACCTGTCCCGGAGTCCGATTCATCTATTCGTCCAGTCAGGCCGTATATGGCCGACCGTTGCCAGAGATTGTGACTGACAGCGTAATTCCGACCCCAGAGTCCTCTTACGGTGCCGAGAAGATCGTTTGCGAAACATTGGTGAACGAATACACTCGCCGTAAATTCATCACCGGGTTTATCCTGCGGTTTCCTACCATCTCCGTCCGACCGGGTGCACCCACTGCTGCAGCTTCGTCCTTCCTTTCCGGCATGATCCGGGAACCTCTTGACGGCCAGCAATGTGTGATCCCCATTAAAGACCGACAGTTCAAGTCGTGGCTATGCTCGCCCAAAACCCTTGTGGAAAATCTCCTTCTCACTCTCCGTCTTCCTGCGGACTCCGTTCCCCCGCACATTCGCCAGATTAATGTGCCTGGAATCTGCGTCACAGTCCAGGGCATGATGGATGCATTGGAAGCCGTGGGCGGTGCAGATAAACTCGCCCTTCTAACAGAGAAGGAGGACCCTGCGCTGGTTCCAATCTTGAAGTCATGGCCGACGCAATTTGATAACACTCAAGCCATCTCCTTGGGGTTCAAACGCGACGAGTCTTTCGAGCAAACCGTGCGGGATTATAAACAGTCATTGACACAATATAGATCTTGAAAGTTCAATGACATCGTTTATTAGTTGATTTCTAAACTCTTTGTCATTTTACCTGTTACATAAAACAAGGAGGTTTCTGGTAACTATAGACCAGGGTTGTGCTAGTCAGTCAGTTGTCAGCCCAAGTCGCCATCTGGGCACCACCCGCTTTTCCTACCAACTCACTTCAACTCTTGGGCTGTTCACCCACTTGAGTGGGATATTCTATAATTTTTTACTCCGAAAATCAATTGTTTCAAAATGCCAACACAAATCTCGCTTCTCGTGTACAAAGGCGTGCCAGTAGACTTCTCCAAATACCGACACACAGCGCTGCACGCCCTCTACTCCGACGGCCAATATGATTGGCTTCATGCTGTCGGCGCACACCCTTTCTTCAAATTTCAAAAGGACACAGAGAACCCGATTTCTGAGCCGCCAATAGCCTGGATTCCTGTATGTACGGTGCCGGACTCTGTCACTAGGGAGAAGATTATTTGTGCATGTGCTTGCACGCCGGTGCGCAATGGCAATAGCGACCGAGACTGGAACTGCCAGAACTGGGTGGGGGAGGCCTTGACTGAGCTCGTCAAGATTGGCTGTTTGACCAAAGAAGAGCGCGGAGTGGCGATTGGTAAAATGGTGGAGATTATCTTAGAAGCGGAGCTGGAAGACGTGAGTCCCGTTCTGGATAACTGTTCTATGCAGGAAATTATGTGGACTAATGTGGATTTGTTGCTTGTACGTAGGATGGGATGTATTAGTCTTTATGGCTTTTTTCTGCTCTGGTCAACTGGTTTCAGCTGTAGGTTGTCAATTTATGTCATGCCACAACCTGGGAGACTTCAACGACAAAATTTCTTCAGAGACTGCAGTAATGATATTTAGTTTAGGTCTCTTAATACATCGCTAGTCAAGGAAACATAGCCAGCTGTACATATGCCACTGGCACATAAAGCATAACACCATCAGATCGGAGACATCATTGCCAAACCTGCGATTCTCTCAGCACGCGTCCTGGAAATTGCATCAACAGCTCGCCCAAACCTGTCCGTCAATGGCAATAAGCCGATTAAACAGCTGATTCCTCGTCTCCATGGCAGTGAGTTGATATGACTGCCCTGGCATCTTGCCAATGATGAGCAAACCGTCAACCACCTCCTTACCATGAAGAGCCCAACCAACAACCAATTTCCCCTTCCATCCCATACCGCCTAACTTTCGCATCTCCTGGATCTCAGTCACCGGCATAGTGAACATAACCGATCCATCTTTGCGATTCTCCAATTTTGCGTCTCCATTCTGCGGCGTATCAGTTGTGAAATACAGCAGCGGAGGCTCCTTGGTCGAGTCAATAATCGCAGTACCGCGCTTGCCTTTGTATCGAGCATCAAATGCCACAGGTCCACTTGGTGTTATCCTCTTCCCTCTATCACGTAGGACGCCAACCCGATTCTTAGCATGATGTGAACCGATTGCTGCTCGTAAGCGATCGATCCCTCTTTTGCTCTCAACACCACTGGCCGTTGTTTCTCGAAATAAGCCTAGAATGCTCGATCCCAATGTCCTTTTATGGCTCTTCTCTGGTGCTGGTGGAGCTTCGACCGCCTGGACATGGTCGTCAGGCTTAACCAGTGCAGCTTGTTTAATTTCCTCGTTACTAGCACCTAGGGTCAGTTCCTCCGGATTCAAAGAGACTGGCCGCGAGGGTACTTTGTCTGGTGAGGTTGGAGGAGGCGGAAGTGGTGACGCATTAGCTTCGCCGATGCGGAGAAGAGTAATAGCCAGCTGAGCATTTGTTGGAATACCTTTCAGGAGGGAACTGTTGCGAGTTAGCATTGTGAGCATATGCACTGATTGAATGCATACTTTTGCAACTGAATAATCTTCCGCCAATTCGGTAGGCGGCGATTTAGATATGAAACCCCTCGTCTGATGACAGGGTCTCCAAAGAAGACGAGCCCGATCAGAAGTGTACTCAGCTTCATAAAAACGTAGCAAGATGTCATTAATGAAGCTAGGAATGCCGGGAACAACACCGTCGCCAGGCGCAGACGAGGACTCAGTCGAGGAAACGGAGTTGTTGCGGATAGAGCGCTAGATAAACAAATTTAACAACAAGCCATGAGTAAAACCACGAGCTCTTACTCACTTGCCCATCTTCTCATAGGTATCTGTGATGTCGCCTATTACGTGCATTGAAGAGTTTGCAATGTCCATCACGCTCTGTTTCATAGGTTGTCGTGTTTTGTCATGGGAGTCTGTCGGTACCTTCCCATGGGCAGCGCTTTGCGCATCGGCAGTATTGGCAACAATATCCATCGCGTCTGGAACGTCATCTTCCAAGGGTGCATCATCAGGGACCCCTTGATCATGCTTCCCAACTGCGCTTCCCACGGCCACACTGGCAACGCTTGCAACAAGATTACTGGCCTCTTGCTCGGCTGCTTCGCCCTTGAATTTCTCGGGGGCCCCGGTAATACTATCCTCAGACCCAAGGATTCCCGCCTTTGGCTTTTGTACACCACCCGTATCTTTGTTGACAAGAGAAATTGGAGCGGGAGGGAACATGAGTGATCTACACGGTGGATAGAGCACCAGGGCAAGTAGGATGACCAGCATAGTTGGAACAAGTAGATCGAGAAGGCATGATAGTACGTAGACCTACATAATATCAGTAGCGCTCCAAATACATTTCTCTAGAATGGAGACATACCGTGCAAAAGGCAGCGGTTCGTCGCGGCTCCTTCCAAGACCGTAGTCGAGCAATATGTTTGATACAATTGGTCAATCCAACAACAACGGTTGTGTAAAAACGTTCAATTGTAGCCCTGAGTTTATCCGGCGAGAATTCATCGTCGTCTTCACGCGTGAAATCCAGTTTCTGCAGGGAAACATCGGGAACTGCTTTGACTCGATACATTTGCTGGTGTGCAAATTGACAAGGTCGGTTTCAATTCTCCTACATTTTCATGTGGGGTGCTCAGGACATACCTTGTCGAATCGTCTAATGAGCATCCACAAATCCTCATTTGATAGCCCGGCCACTAATGGTTCCTCGATGACATCTGGAGATTCATCCCATCCAATATTGCTAATTTCCGCTGTGTCGCCAGCTTTTTGTGCAAGGCCTCTCTCATCCTGTTTTATTTGAGATAGCACATGGCTATCGGTTGGTCCCTCGGGAATTTCAGGATCCGTAGTGAGATTGTTGTCGGCCTTGATTGTAGCACGGTCGACTGAAGCGGATGGCATCGCCTGTCTGTCGGTTGCAGACATGAGTGTGAAATTGTTCTAAAGTTCCCTAGATTAACTTGAAGGGTTTGTTTTGAGGTCAACCCCATTGAGAGGAAGCTTTCCATGGGACCTGGAACCTGTCTTGTAGTTGCGCAGACTGTCGACGTCATCTTCCTTCGGTGGCAATCAACACAACCTTGGAAGCAAACTGGATTATTTTAAGTAACAAATGTCATAGAATAAATTGTGGTAATAAGGTTTGGCTGGTGAAAAAGCACTCGAAGACATAGACCTGACTTTTATTGTTTGGGTTTGCGCGTGGGTTGACGACCAAGGCGGCTGGCTGCACGAGTGCCATTCTGGGTGGTCATCAATTCTAGTTCTAACTGCAATGCAAAGGATGAAAATGACCTCGAGATGTAAATGCGACTAAATTATATAAATGAGCTCGTTGTAAATCGGCAAACCAAGTAAGATGGATGCAAGTTAAGAGCAGCCCTCCCCAGGTGGTCTTACAAGGATTGCAATCAACCTTCCTTATCTCTCTTATCAACACGTGCCAGTATTCCCAGAAAGGCAACATCATCGCGTCCAAGCAAGGAGAACTCATCTTGATGATAATTCGCTCTACTAATCTGCCATCCAGTCACTGGACACTCGACTCGCCATGAGCGAGGAGTGTGCAAACCCCCTACTCCTGGGGTGGATTAAAGAATGGCTGGATCAAGCTCGAGAACGGAATAGCAAAGGCGTGACCGTGTACGTATCTCTTGGCGCCCATCGGGAAAAGACTATATCTGACATCTTGCAGGTACAAGAAGGCTTATGAGTCAATGAAAGCCTGTCCGTTAGAATTTCAACATCCGTCTCAAGCGCAGCAATTGAATGGACTGGGTCCTAAATTGTGTGACCGCTTGACCGATAAACTAAAGGCCCACTGTCAAGAAAATGGACTTCCAATGCCGGAACTGCCTGGGAAAGGTTTGTGGTATCACTTGCACCCTGGCCCCGGAAACGGACGCTCAACTAGGTCGAATAGGTGGAAAGAGAGCATCTGAAGGCGGCGTGGATCAACCGGCGAAGAAGCCTCGGAAAGCCAAGCCGTATGTACCGACATTACGATCTGGTCCATATGCACTGATGTTGGCCTTGGGAACCCAAAACGAGAATGAATCCCAGGGGATGACCAAGGCTCACCTGATCGAGGTGGCCCAACCATTCTGCGACAGTTCGTTCACGGCACCCCCGGACCCGACCAAGTTCTACACTGCCTGGAATTCAATGAAAACTCTAATTCAGAAAGACCTAGTCTATGAACATGGTCGTCCACTTCGAAAGTATCTTCTTTCCGAAGAAGGCTGGGAGGTGGCCAAACGTCTCCAAAAGACATTACCTGGCGATGTTCAAACCGCCATGTTTGGCTCCCAAGCTACTGCAACGACTGAGTCACAGCAAAGAGCATCGACAGCCGAACTTGCCTCATTTCAACAAGATGATGATTTATTGGCAGACGCTCAAGAAAAACTATCCGAACACGACATTGCCAACATCGAGCCCATCCTTTTCCCAGCTAAGAGCTTCACTATCCATCTCGTTTTAGACACCCGAGAAGTCCGCACCTCCACCGACCGCGACTATATCTCCGGCGAACTGATCAAGCAAGGAATTAAGCCGCAAGTACGTGCCCTGGAAGTTGGCGACGCAATGTGGGTAGCCAAGTGTCACGATCCAACTTTCCTCACGAGACATGGCGAAGAAGGTGATGAGGTGATGCTGGACTGGATCGTTGAGAGAAAGCGTCTAGACGATCTGATTGGGTCCATTAAAGACGGCCGCTTCCACGAACAAAAGTTCCGGCTCCGTCGCTCCGGCATCAAGAACGTCATCTACCTGATCGAAGAGTTCGCAGTCACGCATCCTGACTCGACTAGCGGGAGTGCAGCTCAATGCCAGGAGATGGTTACCTCGGCCATCGCCTCGACACAGGTTCTTAATCAATACTTTATCAAAAAGACGAAACATCTGGACGAGTCAATCCGGTACCTAGCGCGCATGACTCTGCTCTTACGAAAGATGTATGGGGTCGAAGATGCGCCCTCCATCGGAGACACTGATAGCAATATCAACCGTAGCACGGTTCCTGCATCTCCAGTATCCAAAATTGGCCTCATCCCCGGCCGCCGTCTCTCCACTGACTCCTACCTCACTATACTGGATAATCTCCGCTCTCAAGATCCGTCCATCACATACGGGGTTTCATTCGTGACCTTCTCCGCACTCACTTCCAAGTCCGACGTTCTTACTCTTCGTGACGTATTTCTTAAGATGCTGATGTGTACCCGTGGCGTGACGGGCGAAAAAGCCCTTGAGATTCAACAGATCTGGCCAACGCCACGGCATTTGGTGGATGCGTACATGGCTCTAGAATCTAAGGAGCGAGAGATGATGATAGCGACTCGGATGTCGGAGGTTGTAGGGCGGAAGAAAGTTGCTAAAGATCTCAGCAAGCGGATTGCAGAAGTTTGGGGGGAGGTGAATTTGTCTTAGAAAGGTTTTCTTTCAAGGCTCCTTTGAAGATGACATAGTACCGAGTTCATTCGCAGGTATTAGATACAAAAGTAACGCCAAAATGAAATAAATGAATATATACCATAATGCCTACCTCTTCCTTCTCACAATCTTCATAATACTTTCTTTGTTAATCCTCAAAGCCAAGCTACTCAGCACAACAGAAATACTACTTAACGCCATGGCCAGAGCAGCCCACACCGGACTCAGTCTCCAGTGCTCATTGGTCATGATCATTTCACCATTAATGGTTTTATGATGATGGCCACTCACGATAGGATAGAGGACACCAGCAGCAACCGGAACCAAACAGAGGTTATATATAACCGCCCAGCCAAAGTTCATACGGACTCGATTGAACACACGGCGACTGAGCAGGACCAGCTCCAAAATCGTGCTGAGATCTGAGTTGAGGAGGATGAAGCTGGCGGAATTGATAGCGACGTCGGAGCCAGATGCCATGGCGATGCTCACATCTGCTGCTGCCAGAGCGGGCGAGTCGTTCACTCCGTCGCCGACGAAGGCGACAATGGGACGTGAAGGGCTTGAACTCGGTGTAGTCTCACCACCGGCCGGTGTTGTATTCTGCGAACGTTCTTGAATCTGACGAACAAAGCTGGCTTTCTCCGCTGGTAGGACATTGGCCATTACCTTGGAGCGCGGGATGCCTAGCATGTCTGCGACGGCGTGGGCGGTAGTCTGGTTATCGCCAGTGCACATGAAGACATCAACTTGACGCTTCTGAAGCTGGGAGATTATCTCGACAGCTTCCGGGCGAATCGTGTCTGATGTGGCGAAGATAATAGCTGGTATAAAGTTGGATGGTTCGGTGGATGGGGGTTGTACTTGACGTAGTGAAAGGACTGCAGTAGACTTTCCAGCTGACTGGTATTTCGCCAGCAGACTGGAAACGAAATATGTGTCTGTTTGGGGGGATAGTAGACTGTTGAGAAGACGTTCATTGCCAATTGCGGCTTCATACTGCCCTTCGTGCTCGGAGCCAGACACAGTAAAAGTTCCTTTCATGCCTTGCCCGGAAATCTCATGAACGTCTGACGACTTGACAGAGGAAGATTTTTGTGTTTTGCAGAATTCAGTGATTGCCTGGGCAATCGGATGGTTGCTGCTCTCTTCCATTTTCCGAGCCAGAGCCCATGCGACCTTCGCAACTTCTGGGTCACTGGTCAAAACTTCATGTTCAGAAACCTTCAGACTTCCACCCTCAGTCAAGGTGCCTGTCTTGTCAAAGACGATTGCATTCAAGCGACTGGCTTCTTGGAAGGCTTCACCACCACCTTTTACCAGGATACCATACTTCGCTGCTAGGCCGCCCCCAACGAAAAGCGCTGTAGGGGCTGCAAGGGCCAGACCGCAGGGACATGCCACCACAAACACTGAAATGGCAAATTCCAGCGCCCAGAATGTCCAGCCACCATGTGCGACATCGAGATAATCTGCGGGGAGCACACCGGAATGACCAAGTGCCAACCAAATAACGAAAGTCGAAATGGCGATCAGAGTAATAATAGGCACGAAATGCGAAGTGAGAAGATCAGCAACTCTTTCAAGAGGTGCACGCTTGCTTTGCCCCTCACGAACCACGGCAATGATTTGGTCAAGCATAGATGAACCACCAAGCTCAGTAATACGGATCCGTACCGGCTGGCCGACGTTAACCGAGCCTGTATAGACCATGTCGTCGGCTGTTTTCTTGACTGGTCGCGATTCTCCTGTCAAAGAGCTTTCATCGAATTGGTATGACGCGCTGTCGACGATGACTCCATCTGCAGGAGGCGAGGCGCCATGGGGAATACTGACGACGTCACCAACTTCCAGCAGGTCGACATTCGTACGCTTAACTCCATCTTCGGAAGTGTCATCGGACAACAGTGCCTCTGAAGGTCGAAGCTTGCCCAAAGATGTCACAGCATCGCCAGTTCTGGCTTTACTGTAGGCCTCCAGGAAGCGACCACCAAGAATGAACAGAGTTAAGAAGACAACCGAGTCGAAATAAGTCGTGCTATGGGGGCTCGACTTGGTACCCACAACTGCGTCAACGATAAGTACCGCCAAAGACGAGATATAGGCTACCGATGTGCCTGCAGAGATCAAAAGGTTCATACTACCAAAACGGTAGAATCTTCGAAGGATCGGCACTCGACTTCCAGGCCGCCATAGCGCATAAACCTCCTTCGCAGCACGGACATGGAACACATCAGTGCCGTAGAACATGACAGGAGTTGACATTATAAACAGCGCCCATTCGATGCGGGTCACACTGCCAGACCACATAGTTTGCTCCAGATACATTCGAACAGAGTTTTCAGATGAGACAAGAGACATAAATACAATCCCTATGAAGAAAGTCGGAATGGCACTGATAAAGACGAAAAGCAATCGCGCCAACAGACGGCTTCTTTCATGATGCTGGATCGCACGAGACCGGTCTTCAATACTAGGCGGGTGATAAACAG